TAACATAAAAGCTGAATATCAATAGAAAAATGATGTTCTACATTTTTACACAAGAACTATTTGTGTCAAATGTTTGAAGTAGATGTAGAGGATAATGTCGAAACACAAGTAAATTAAACCTCAAAAATATAAATATAAAGCATGGTCATCACATAATACCATCTCACAACTATCAAAATCAAATAAATGTAATTAATAATAAGCTTTTGGCTGTGTTTTTTCATCTGAAAAACGGCCTCAGTAATGTTGCAAGTGCCACCAGCTAGACCATATGAGTGATCATTTCTCGGGATGTCCCATGCTTGCTTTTGCCAACGGCCCTCAAATCTCTGCAGCAAGATTTTTGCTTTTAGTATCACTGCATAACTTTAGCACTGAAAAGGACAAGAGTACCGATCCTTTCCTTGACTTGTTTCCACCTTGGGTTTGACCAGAACGGCGTGGCGTTTTGGTTTCGTGATAGCAGTTGATGATACTCTCATATCACAGTTCTCTGATAACAACCAGACAAAATAATGTGATTTATGTCTGCTGATGTATGATCTTTGTGTCTGACATCATCTGCCCAGAGTGCAGTCAGTGCAGAAGACAGGATACCAGACATTCCTTGAATACTCCACACAGGATCTCGCCGCTGCTTGTGAACACAACCCCGTACCTCCTGTGAGTGGAAAAATACAGACTCAGCTCAGACTCAGGGTGGTGAATGAGGCTCTGGAGGGATTGATGGGTGCCTTACACCTGCCTTTCATTCAAATATGTGATGTGCTCTAATGATTAAAAGCAATTAAAAGTTGTTACTTCTACACATTTTTTTATTTTTATTCAACTGCATATTGTTAGAGAATGAATGACCCCATTTTATACCAAGGCGTAGCAGAGCTCTTTTATCTGAACAAGTGGAACAACCACAAACACAATGGGAGATAAATATTATAGGACTTCTGTAGAGATGCCCTGGTTGATAAACCAGAGCACACCGTTAGAGCCGACAAAGTTTCTCTTCCACCGTCGTCTGACATTCCAGATGGGGTTGTTAAAGCAAAGGGAGTCCTGCTGGCAAGGAAAAGCCACTTCACCGTGGCCAATACGTAATGTCCTGACATTCCTCGAGCTATTCTTCTTTCGGTTATCATGCCACACATCTGTCCATATCTGGGCTCCTGTCACGCAAAACAGCAGCATGTCTGGCTTCATTTGCAGGACTTAAAACAGAAGGTTTGGGAGAGGGGTGTGGTGGGGGGGGGGGTTGAAAATACGAAGCTGCTTTCCCTCTCTTTCTTTATTCCCTTTTAAATGTGATACCTGCAACATTGCTGGGTTGATTTATCCATTCAAAGTTGTTGTTCTTACAGGAAACTTCCATGTTGCCGACAATACCCAAATAAGACTCAACGTCTGGCTTGACAGACCGTGTGCCTGCACTCTGCGTTGATGTAAAGGTTAGGACGAGCCAGCCCAAATGCCACAGTCCCGGGACGTCACAGAGGCCTTTGCCGTCCCAGTCCTAATCCTTTTACAGATTTACTCCAGGTGAGTATTCTGCCATGACATCAATGTGTGTAAATCTTCTCACTCAGGATATTATGTGTGTTTGTGAGAATGGATGTGTGAGTGTGAGAGACTTAATCCAGTTTCAAGGTACAAGGAAGTGTGAGAGGTGTAATTACCCAGCATCCTCCAGCAATCAGACTGGCAGGACACACTGACAAGTTCACACTTAAGCCCTTCTCACACAGGAAGTCGGGTTGGATTTTAGTGAGTAAGGTTGTGGCCTTTGTTGTTAAGTCTTGTATACTGTGTGTGTCTGTGTGACATGTGTGACAATAAAAATGATAAAGATAAAGTTGTTTATCTTTGTTTGGCGATGCAGCTGGAATTGACTTGAAATTTCAGCTGGTGTGATGCATTCCTGAACATATTATTTGTTTTGGCTTGCTTGATTTATATTTATATTTCCCTGTTTGTTTGCTTTTGTTGATTACACAACTTTTGTATTTGCTTATAATGCTTATTCAGTTGGGATTCCTTGAATAAGCCTCTAGGTTTTTTTTATTTTTTATCTTTTGTTGTTGTGTTTCCGCTGCTTTGTTTTATTGTGCAAATAAATAATTCAAATCAAATAAAAGTTCTCTACTCAGACACATTTTCATTGCAGAAAGTAGTCTCCATAAAAACTCTTCTTAATATACTGTATGGACTTATCGGTTCAGCAAACTCTCTCCTAAAGAGAGAATACATGTCAGGCCTACATATTTTGAAGAAAAGATGATCTGACGTGTGTTAAACCTGCCTTGAAAAAGATCAAAATCAACCAAAACGTTGGTGAGATCAGCTTTTGTTTCTATTGGATGTTTTTGTTTGATGATATATTTAAACAACATGGAGCAAGGTGGAAAAGGGGGCTACGGTTTTACCTTTTCAGTATCTGCTGGACGATAGTGTGCTTTGTGATCTTTGTGAGCCATCTGCACTTTAAACTGCAAACCTTCTGGTCACAATTATTACTATTTTTTTCCATCACAAAGTGAGATGAGACACATAATGAGACACATGAAGGCAGAACATTCCCCGATACTGCGCATATGAACTCATTGTTAAGGTGTTTTGACAATGCAATGACAGTGTTGTATTCTAATATAAATCACTTCTACTGAGAAGTAGAACTGACAACATTTATAGGTTCATAGAGCTGGGTGTCATGTTGTTTTATAATGATGATGGTGAGCTCATGTTCTTTTATTGCAACCTTGAGAACAAGCTTCGAGCAAATCTTTCAAATGAGTCATTTGATTCCATATTAAAGTCGTTTAAACTTTGACAGGATTCCATTTAAAATGGGTATGTGTCACATATCTCATGTGGAAAAAGTCATGAAACTTGCATGAACTCCCACATATTTGATCCAAACTGGATTATGTAAAAAAAGGAAGGGTTGGGGTTGTGCTTCTTCCTGTCGTGGCAGCAGTGTCTGACACATTATATATCCATCGTTTGCTCTGGATTGTGTCAATTAAAATGACTTTGAAGCTGAGTCGGAGCTCAGTTGCTAGATGGAACAACCAATTGACAACTTAGTGACACTGGCAAATGTTGTTACGGTCATTTCTGACTGACTGATAGTGACTAAACATTTAAGGATATGATAAGAAAGATATATATCAGAAATAAATAAATGTATGCAAGATTGTACTTTCATTTTTGAATATAATCCAGTCATAAAGGGAGAAAACACTGCTCGCCTGGTATCAGACCTGGCTGAGATGCTGGAGCTATAGACTATCGAAGTTAATGAAATACAGCATCCTGTCTCTGACCAAAAGCTCGCTTATTAAAAAGATGTTTGCGCAGATAGCACCTTGACATTATCTCTCACACACACACACTTGAAATCACAATGCTTTAATGTCTCTGACCTGGCTGAGGGCTTTTTTCCCTTCTAGGCTCCCTCATCAGATCATAAAAGATGCCCAACAGCTTTCACACACACACACACACACACACACACACACACTCCTGCCAACAGGACAACAGGAAGTCTAAAGACACAAAGGCGGATGGGCTAGTTTGGGGGGGGTGGGGTGAGTCGCACATATGTCACCAAAACCCCAGCTTGTCTGAGGGAGCTGGTGAGGTAATGAATAAGCCTTTCATCACAGAGGCAGCGTCACTTGTGATGTTTCATTTCAGAGACAATCATTTGCATTGCTGTTAGATGAGAAGTGGGTGTCAGTTTAAAGAATACATTTTGTCATCTGTCAGAATCCACGTATTCAAAGTGAAAGAGTTACTAAAATGTAAGGCCCCCCCCCCACCCACCCCAAAACCTTAGTTTCATTAAATGTTGTTATGTAAGGCCTTAGGGTATCATCACATCACGTCTGGAGAAAGTTGTTTCTCCTTTTTCTCACACCCCACCCAGGGTCAAAGCCAATGTTTTGGCTAATTTGCAAACCAAGCATATTCCTTTCCCTTAAGGGCCGTCTCTGTCTCCACCTCCCCCATTGGTGTGGGAGGCAGGGCACACAGGGCCGGTGCTTGAATGAGCCCTGAATGCTCTTTAGTTGTCACACTTTTCCCAAACGCCTTGCAGCTGCTCCTATTGTGGCCGCAGAGGGAGGGCTCCTTGGCTGATTCTTTAAGCCTCCTGCTGCTGCCCTGGTCTCAGATGGGTTCATAGAGGGGGAGTGTGGCCCGAACAATGGCCGACGCCATGACATCATGCCTCTAATGTGGGCAAAATCCTTATGCAGATATACGATAGGATTCCAACACATGGAACAAAACAGGGAAAGATGTGCACAAAGATGTGTCTGACAGGCCAGCAGGCCAGTTTTACGTCGGCTTTGTTTCGTCCCATTGCAGTCGTTTTGATTCATAGACATTCAAATTAAGAAACTTTCATTTGTTGAATACATAAACGGATCAATTTTTACAACTGAAACCAAGTCGGACAACAGAAAATGTAACTGTTTTGATGATAGATGAATAAAAGTAATTTTTTTAGAAACACCATCATTCAAAATGTGGATATTTGCTGGTTGTATTAGCCTTCTATTATATTTAAATGTCTGGGTTTTGGAATGTTGGTCACGAAAAACAAGCAATTTGAAAGACAACATGGGCTTTGGGAAATTGCGATGGCCTTGGTTAGTCAGCTGCAACCTTAAAATGTTTGTACTAATGGCCACATACATGAACACATATTTATTTGAAAGGATGAAGAGAATTCAATTACTTTTGGGAGACATTAAGTTTATATATTTGCTTTTCATTTTGGACTTAATTGGAATAATTATAACCTGAAGATGCCATATTGTTTTATGTATTAGCTACCTCAAAGTAGCTAGAGTAAGTGGTATATGGGTAGATTGTGACAGTTATTATACAACTACATATGTGTTGTCTTAAATGATTTGCAAGTCAAGGTGCATTATCAGCCACTGGTGAATAAATCTTAAGTCAGACATAAGATGTAAGAAAGTGAACATTCAATGGAGTACAAAAGTCAGGTTAGATTTATTAAATGTATAAAAACAACATTTCAACAAACGTATGCAAAAATATATTACTTTAGTTCAATAAATATGTCAGAATGCAGGCACAGAGGACTACGTGTCCCCATTTGAGTAGTTTCGGGTTCCGTCCGTCGCAGCGCTGCAGTACAGAAACATGAGGTATTTAATGGTCCATTTCCACCAACGCGTCAGGATCGTCAAGGTTTCATGGCGTCTTTGAAAGGCAGGTATTTGCATTTGAATTGTCAACCAATTCAACTCTCAAACTGAGCATGAAGATTCCTGCCACATCTACACTGAAAAGAGGGGGGGGATACATTCATTGTTCGTCACGTGGAGGAGTAACTTCCATGCCATGTTGGGCAATGGGTTGACGTGGCTTTCTTCAGCCAGTACAAAAATCAAAATGGACATGCGAGAGGATAAGTCAACATTCCTGAGACAACTGTCAGCCCTCTCCATTTTGTTAAAAATGATACGATTATCAAAAGCATTTACCTTCATGAAAAAAAAAAAAAAAAAATAATAATAAATCGATCCATTGAATAAAGAATACTCAGATGCTTCTTAACTTCCTCTACGGGAATAATCTCAACTACCCTTTCAGTCATTTCCCAAGTCATCTAGGATTACAACTTTCACATTATGAGGCACATGTGTACTGCCTGCTGGTAGTCTATTCTCCCTTTGAAATGATGAGGCCAGCCTACAGACATTTGGCCAGCAGGTCACAGAGTCAAATGAACTGACCCTAAATACTAGCTCCCATTCTGTCCAGTGATACCAGTATCACGATTAAACGGCTGATAATCAGGCCCGCGTTTTTGGCAGTGCTCTTAGCAGAGGCACTTGTGAGTTTCAGTTCAAGTCCAAACAAAATCTGTACTCCCCACACCGTCCTCAGCAGCTGGGAGAGGTGGTGATGGGACTGTGGAGGAATGACAGCTGACCAGCTGCGGTGTGTACAGGGATCGAGACTGGGAAATTGAAGACTGTGCTGTTGTTGCCGATTGCTGGACTGCCCGCCTCCGAGGAGCAGGTAGACGAGGCCAGGACCTGGGACTCGAACTGGAGGAGCTGACCCATGAAGCTGAAGTTGGGGGAGATGATGCTGCGGCGCTGCTTGACAAACTCGAAGGCCTCGTCCAGCTTCACGCGGTTGGTCCGCATGAGGTAGGCAAGGCAAATGGTGGCGGAGCGGGAGATGCCTGCTTGACAGTGCACAAACACACGGCCTCCTTTATTTCTCACCGAGTCTGTGTGGAGAGGGGGGGGGGGGGGGGGATCTCCCGCTCCGCCACAATGGCCCTTGCCTACCTCATGCGGACCAACCGCGTGAAGCTGGACGAGGCCT